CGTTCCAGCATCTCCTCCTGGCAGAACACCTTCTCTGACACCTCTGTGGAGCTTTCAGACAGTTTGAAAGCCAGTGTACAGGCTGCAATGCTGCTGCCCCCCTCCCCAGACCAGACCTGGCAGGGTCTGAGCACCCATGAGGCCACCTCCGCTACAGACATGTCCTTTAATCCACTCACATACATGCTGGACCAAGAGCAGCCAGAAGAACCAGATCTAGACTCTCTATCAGGTATGCTGAGGTTTGTTAACCAGACTCTGGCCCTCCAAGAGCAACAATCCCTCTGTGACACCAGCACCCACAAAACAGGCAAGTAACATGACTGCATGTAAACACTTTTATAATATCTAGTGTACACAATGGAGTGGATTTTTAAATGTTTATTAACTTAATATCGCTCATACTTAAAAGGATAGTTCACCCTAAAATGAAAATTCTGTCATCATTTCTTTCTTTGGTGGAGCACAAAAAAGATTTTTGTCCATAAAATGAAAGTCAGTGAGGTCCAATGTTGTTTTGGACCCCAGTGACTTTCACTATATATACAAAATAGTTGAAACATTCCTTAAAATACACCACTGTTCAAAGGTATGGGGTCAGTGATCTTTTTTTAATACTTTAATGCAGCAAAGTTGCATTAAGTTAATCAAAAACGATAGTAAAGACATTTATAATGGTACAAAAGTTTTCTATTTTAAATAAATGCTGCTATTTTGAACTTTTTATTCATCAAAGATTTCTAAACGTATTATTACTGTTCATGGTTTTGACAAAAATATTAAGCACACAACTGTTTTCAAAATTGGTAATAATAAGAAATGTTTCTTGAGCACCAAATCAGTATATTATAGTGATTTCTGAAGGATTATGTGACAATGAAGACTGGAGTAATGGAGTAATATAGTTCTAATAAACACTTATATTAAGTTTATTAAAATAACAGAAAAAAACTATTTTAAATTGTAATAATATTTCACAATATTAGAGTTTTCTATTGGTTTTATAGAATAATTGCAGCCGTAATGAGCATAAGAGGCTTCTTTCAAAAACATCAACACCAACCCTAAACTTTTGAATGGTTGCGTATCTTGTGTTTCTCAAAAGAAAGTCATACGTGTTTAAAACCACATGAGGATGAGTAAATTTTGAGTGAACTCATTCATTTTGCTCCTTTGATTTGGGCCTGCAAGCCACCACTTAGCCACCCTAGCAACTGCATAGCAACAAACTAAAAACACTCAAAACACAGTTTTTCTGAAAATCAAAAACTTTTACTTTTCCTGCAGGAACATAATGAGGTGGCAGCTGTACTGTGTCTGTCCTTACAGGAGAACCCATCAACTAATGATATTCCTGAAGTCTTTACCGAATAAATGCACAGAGGTCCAAAACCTGCTGATTCGTTCATTTTGCCCTGAGCTACTAGATGATTTTTGTATGAAGCCTAAATGTTACATTTAACCTCAGTTCAGTTGTGAATCAGTTTGGTAGAGCTGTTTGAGCTTGTCCAGTAGCATGATCAAACATGTCCCGACTGAATTTGAAATGTCCTTTTCAGTGGTGTTTTTGTATTTAGGTATATATTTTAGTTTTACATTTTATGATACTAATTTATACAATTTCTTATGTGAATGATTGATTGATTGATTCTTAATAAATCTTTAGATATTCAGAAACATCTCTTTGCTTTCATGCCAAACTGTCATGCTAAACCTTTTTTTCTTTACACCAAAGTCATCTATATAGCACGTTAACAGGAAGTGTGCCATAGTTTAAATGAACTAAGTTAATATGTGTCAACACGCAGCCTTTTAATAATAACTGTGTATTTGCATATGTTTACACTCATGCGTGTGTTTACACAGGCCCATTGTTTAATGATACAACAACTAGTGTGTCATATTTGCTGGGGGTGGAGATGTATTTGCTGCTCAGAGATGGGCTGACAGGTCTATTGTGTCTGTTTTTGTAACCAGCGAGCACTCCTAGAGTCCAGGTGTGTAATTTAACATAATTTTAGGAGGAAGTCAAGAGCTTTATTGCCATTGTGCGGATACAACTATATTAAATAAAGATTAAACGAAGAACTTGTAATAACAAAATCAGATCTCCTCAGAAGATGTTCCAAATGTTAAGTATATGCAAAAGCATGGTAAAAAATGTACATAAAAATGAGGACACTAGCAAAGCATCGCTTCTTCTGTTTTCTCTCATTATGCTGAAGAAGGCATTTGCATGCATACAAGAGGCTTTGGTTTGCAGTGAAGAGGATGTGGTCAAAGATTGGTGATTTATAGCAGCACGCTCACGCTATGTGCACGTTCCGAGAACTCTCTTATCTGGAAACCCCTCATAACTTAGTTCATTTCTTTAAATATATTGACTAAACATAGTTAGTAAGAAGATTAAAACATTGTTTAAAACATGTACTGTAAATGCCTGTATGATGTGGATCTAATAGACATGAAGGACAGAGTTGGTGCTTCTGTCTGCATTAAACGCTGATCTTGTTGCGTGTGGCTTTTAGAGTTCTGTGGTGTTTAGGGCAGAAACCATACTGTTTCAGTCCTTTCAAAGCAGGAACATCTGGTTTTCTGGTACACGACTCTCGTGAAAAAGAACAGTACGTAATTTCATTGAATGTCTACTTGTAACATATATTTTTAAAACCGTACCTGCAGATAATTTAATAAAGAAATAAAAGGCCACCTAAATATACACATTCAAGACTTGTTTACGGATAACTGTTAAGTCTCTGAAAACACTTGTAGATGCCTAGAGTATGCTGATTGAAGTTTAGATGATTGTCCAACGTAGCGCCAAGGTATCTGAAATGCTCCCTTTCAACCATCTCTGTTAATGATAATATTGTAAGGGTGGATGGGTGCATACTAAAGCACATGTAAAGTACTTGATTATAATTTAACTGTAGAGTGTTATTCAATATTATGTTTAAAGGTGTGTTTAAAGATGTGATCTGATATCTTTACAGTATATCAGAAAACGGATGTAGAAAAGTTTACTTTGTGCTCCACATGCTTTATCATCTTGTACACTTCCTCTTATCTTTTCCTTTTTTTTTTTTTTTTTTTAAACAGATCTTACAATATCTATAACAATTACAACAGAATTTTTACGGCCTCAAACATCTCCCACGTGAGCGCAGGATCTTCTTGCTGGAGCAATTGCAATAACTACTAGGCCAAAGCCTGACCAGCTGATGGGCTTGCAAGAAGGGCAGATAAATATATATACCAGTGTTTCAGTTCCATAGCAGTGTCTTTCTTGTGTCATCAGTGACAGTGACTTGGAAATCTCCTGTCTGCAGCCTTTTGCTCTTTGTTCATTTGACCTTTACAATGGAGAGGTCCCCAATGGCAGCTATGGCAACAGTTTCCATGAGACAGTAAAGGTCTCTGGTGATTCCCTCTTTGTTTGACTATTGACATTGCCACAACCCCTTTATCTTAAATGCATACTTTTGTCACCCACCTTTTGGGGCAGATGTCCACAGTTGTTTTCATAGGTTGAGGAGTCACAGTTATTCCAGCACTGCAGAGGTTAATCCCGGAAATCCACTGCCTTCAGAGAGTTTTTTGGCTCACCATCTATCCGTTGATTATTTAACTAGACAGTTCGGCTTTAACATACACTCTCCATCAGCTCTCATTGCAGAGTTTATAATAATGATTATAATCTGGTAAATATTACTGAATGATGTTACTAAGTTCTAAGCAGAAACAAAGTTCTCATTTCATGTATTTAACAGTGAAGCTTTCACTTTTTATCTCAACCTCCAATGGTCAGGTTGTCACTTCCCATTTTTGACCAACGTTTTTGTTTGCAAAATAGAAATTAGTGTGGTAACGCTTTAGATTACAACCCGCAATGTACTGCGTAAGTAAACAGAATTTACAGCGTACCTTTTTTTGTAATTACAGTATACCTATTCAGTACCTCCGTGTAGGTATAAGGTATAAATAGGAATAAAGGAGTAATAATCTGTAAAATTACAAATTATTTCTACTGTAAGTATTTTGAAACTAAGGGGTACATATTCTAATATTACGGGGTATGTATGACCTAACAATCTTATATTTGAGTTCTTTGCGGGTTGTAATCTAAAGCGTTACCATGAGTGTTCAAGTGCCATTAAAAATCGTTATGTTGAGTGTTGTAGATGAGATGTTTCAAGTGTCAAGCCTCTCCACCATTTCATAGGCAACCCACAAAAGCAGGATCTGATTCTTATTTTACATTATATGATTTTTGTCTGCCATTTTGCAAGTGCCTTGTCTAGGAGACGTTTTTCTTATGCAGTGCTTCCTGTATCAGAAGCTGAAAATGTGTTCAAGTTTGCCAACAATGTTTGAGTAAACTGACAATATTTGTCATTACAGTTGCTCTTGTATTGTGTGGTCATCGCTTTCCTGTTGCTACATTAGGCAAACATGTACTTGTAACACCCCTGTTCTGTTTGTAGAGCTTGAGTTTTATTATATTAGCCAGTGAAAGCCTTAGGGAGTTGTGTTATTTGAAGGTTGGAGGGTTTTTTATGTATTAGAACTGTTTTTATATAACGGCAATTCATGACAAACAAGAATGTTGTTAAACATTCGTATTGAACATACGGAGAAACTTTCGGCTGACATAAAACATTTCATATTGTGTATAATTTATGCTTGTTGCAAATAGAAAAAAAGCCTTGGAAAGCTGTTTCTTTAAATGGCAGTAATGAATAAAATACTACAATAAAATTACAGTTACACTTTGTCATTGGAATCTACAAAACACAAGCTGTTTAGAATCACATATTAAGCCAAAGATGCAAAGGCTTTTGGTTGTTTGTTTGTTTATTATGATTAATTTATTTAATTTTGTTTTATTTGTATTTATTGATTTATTCTTTGACATCATATACGCGTCTAATGCCCATAAATGTTGTATAGATAGTAGGCTGACATGAGGCTTTGAGTCACAACTGTATTGAAAGATCACCGTGTGTTCACACGCCCCTGTTTCACAGACACTCCCTCCAGTTAAATCGCGGATTCGGTAAAGAAAGACTACAACACATCGCTTTTTCTCGTGCACTGACAGCTTTCTGCATCTGCCACAATCTCGTAAGTTGTTTTCGATATTCTGATTTTACATCATATCGCTTTTGAAATTCACTGGCTGCATAATGAAAAATAAACGAATGGAGTGTTCTTTACTGTCCTCAAGTAACAATAAATAGTAGCATATAAATGTTTCTCTGCTCACATGGTAACGCAGAGTTAGCAAAATATTTGTTATCCAGATGGGAAAGTGGTTTAATGCACGCCACGTTTCCACCTTCATAAGACAAAGTCCAACTTTGCTTTCCGTAGTAAAGTTATAGTACAGTGATTCATTTATGCTCAGAAAAGCGCCAGACTTTGAATGCAGTACAGCAGTAAAGGAGGGACATAAAAAAATCTTTGCAGGATTTGTAGTTATGTAAAATCTGAAATGCATGTCATTGCTACTTTTATGCATATGCAGGTATACAGTTGCATTTGATTGTTTTTGGTAATAGGAACAATGTTGACTGCTATATAGACTTTTATACGTTATACATATATATATATATATATATATATATATATAAAATGCTATAATGTTTTTTATAAATACTTTTTGTGTATATGTAAAGTTTCTTGAGCATCAAATCAGCATATTAGAATAATTTCTGAAGGATCATGTGACAGTGAAGACTAGAATAATGACTGCTGAAAATGCAGCTTTGCCATCACATCAATAAATTACACAATATGATAATATTTAACAAAAATTACTGTTTTTACTGTATTTTGATCCAATAAATGCACCCTTGGTGAGCATAAGAGACTTTCAAAAAAACAATCAAGAAATCATATATATATATATATATATGAAGAGTTTGGTTCCAAAACGCGATAAACGCCTTTTTTTTTTTTTTTTTTTTTTT